GCAAGCTCTCAAAGACAAAATCGTACTATGTTTGCTTGATCGTTTGCGGTGGGATACAAGGGAAATAAATACAAGTCAAAAACCCTAGCATGCCTTTGCATGGTTCGGGTTGCATGGGCTTGGGCCAATCATAAATCATAAGTCTCCGTGGCCCAAGACACTTCCCATAATCCGCTAACAGCCTCCCCCAAATTGATGCCGGGAACGAAGCATCAATTTGCTTGAGAGGTACCAATGCCGACTACTGGTAAAAGGCTTGGTGAATATATCTGCAATATGCTCTTCCGTCATGAGATACTGCAGCCGAACCGAACCCTCGCGCACCAAATCACAAACATAGTGGACATGAAGCTCGATTTGCTTCGTGCGATCATGGAGAACCGGATTAATCGCAATCTGAATGGCACTAGTGCTATCCACGAAAACGGCGAGAGGCACTGAACATGAAACTCCGAGATCTCCCAATAAACGTTGCAGCCAAACAAGCTCCGAACAGACATCAGACATAGCCCTGTACTCCGCCTCCGTAGAAGACTTGGATACCTTATCCTGTTTCTTACACCGCCATGAAATGAATGAACCAGCAAACTGAACACACCAACCCGTAGTGGACCGACGAGTGTCAACACATCCTGCAAAATCAGAATCGGAAAAAGCACGTAGATCAAGAGAGCCTGTGGATGGGAAGAACATACCAACATCCTCTGTGCCCTTCAGGTAACGGAGAATCCTGTGTGCCGCAGCCAAATGATCCCGGTGAGGTGCCGTCGTAAACTGGCTAACCATCTGAACAGCATAGGAAATGTCAGGTCTGGTGGCAGCTAAGTAAATGAGACTCCCCGCCAAGCTATGATAACGTGAGCCGTCACCATCTGGTAAAGGGTTGCCGGAATCACGTCGTAGCTTCAAATTCAATTCCATCGGTGTACTAACAGGTTGACAATCATCAAAGTTATGTTCACTCAATAAGTCCCCAATATACTTCCGTTGCCCAATGTGAATGCCCTGGTCATTCTGACCGATCTCGAGCCCAAGAAAATACGACAAGTCACCTAAATCTTTCATCGAAACGCCTCCTGAAGGCCGCGTTTAAGGGCATCAATCCCACGATTGTCATCACCGGTGACCACCATGTCATCAACATAGAGGAGGAGAACAACAATACCTGCCGCACTGGTTTGAGTAAAGAGAGATGGATCGCTCAAACTTTGCCGCATACCCAGCTTCTGAACGGTAGTCTGAAATTTCTCAAACCATGCCCGCGGAGCCTGTTTGAGTCCATACAACGACCGATGAAGAAGACAAACCTGTCCTGGTAAACCAACGTTGTACCCGGAGGCTTCTCCAAATAGACAACCTCCTTTAAATCACCATGCAAAAACGCGTTCTTGACGTCAAGCTGGAACAACAGGCAGCGACGAACAGATGCCACCGCCAGGAGAGTACGTACCGTAGCCATTTTAGCCACCGGAGCAAACTTTTCGTCAAAGTCGATCCCTTGTTCCTGGGAGTAACCCTGCACTACAATTCGGGCCCGATGACGTTCAATCTCCCCTTCCGGAGTAATTTTCAGAGCATACAACCACCGACAACCTATAACAGGAACCTCAAGAGGGTGCCGATCCACCACCATCCATGTCTTATTGGCATGCCCAACATCGATCTCCGTTTGCATGGCCGCCTCCCACAACGGATTACCCTGTGCCTGCTTATAACTCGTAGGGACTACAAAAGCATCAACCCCGTAGGCAAAATAATCATTGAATCGAGGTGGTGGCTGACCTCGATTAACCCGAAGAGACCGTCGCGGGTTGTCATGAGGTGGCGACGGCGGAGGGGACCCACCATCCGCATCCGACGTGGCAAAAGTAGCTGTCGAGGAGTGCGACGTCGAGGCATGTGACGTCGAGGAGCTCGATGTGGCAGGCGAGTCCAAGTGCAAGCTTGAGGAAGAGTCGTGAGCAGTCTCGTCCGGTGTTAGAGGCATGTTCGGCAGGGGAGAGGGAGGGTCATCAGGGGGCAGCAAACCATCATCATTCCCAGTATCATCATCATCAAAACTAGGCAACGCGGACATGGGATGGAACAAAGGATTTTCGGACTCAACAGAAGGGAAGAACTTAAAATTCTCAAAGAATACCACGATAGCGGCTATACGGACACGTTGCAAAACAGGGTCATAACAAATATACCCTTTATGAATGTCGCTATACCCAAGGAACGCACACCTAGCTGTTTTAGGAGTTAGCTTAGTGCGTTCCTTCCGTGGCATGAGAACAAAGCACAAACACCCAAAAAACCGGAGACGAGAATAGTCAGGATGACGATAGTATAAAGCAAAAAATGGGCTGACATTTTGAAGAACAGGGGTGATCTGATAGTTTATGAGACGGACAACCGTAGCTACAGCTTCAGGCCAGAAACGAGAAGGGACCCTGCGACTCAATGAGGAGGGAACGAGTTAGGTCAAGCACATGTCTATTCTTACGCTCAACTAAGCCATTCTGCTGTGACACACCAGGACAAGATTTCTGACACAAAGTACCAAGAGATCGATACAAAGCCAGCAATGGATTCAAACTAAACTCACCCCCCGGATCAGATCGAAGGATTTTAGCAAGTTTATTGAACTGGGTTTGCACCATTTTCAAAAACTCCTCTGCTATGGCCTTAAGATCGGATTTAAGACGTAGAAAGTAAACCCATGTGAACCTGGTGGCATGGTCAATAAATAACGCAAAGTATCGAAACCCATGTCGAGAAAGCACAGAAGATGGTCCCCATAGATCAGAGTGTACAATATGAAATGGTTCAGAAATCACCGTGGAACTAGAAGGGAACGAAATACTGATGGTTTTAGCCTCAACACAACTGGTGCAATTATGTTTAGACAACGTAGAAACATTGTGCTTGCCTAACAAAGACTGACGAAACATTTGTAACAAACAACCAGAGTTAGGGTGACCCAAACGCGAATGCCACAAATCCCAAACATTATTCTACTCACTAGGAAGACTTGAAAAACTAGACACCAAAGGACTACTGACATGCCTACTAGTATTGGAGACAGGAGAGGACGATGATGATGATGTACTGGTGAGCTCTTCTAATTGAAATAACCGCCCCCACTTACTCCCTCTGCCGATTTTCCTCCCCTTCTTCAAGTCCTGCACAACACAACCAGTCGGTGCGAACGTAACCGAGCATCCATGATCAGTAAGTCTTCCAACAGAAACGAGATTAGGCACTAATTTGGGAACATATAACGTATTAGGTAAATCAATCCTAGGTTGTTTTACACATCCCATGCCTTGAACCTCCAAGTGCTCACCATTAGCTACCCATAAGTCCATATGACGCACAGGTTGAATACTAGTAAGAACATCCGAATTTTGCGTCATATGGTTATAACAAGCAGAGTCCAGTAGCCAAGGTGAGGGTTTCCTACCTGTAACCTGCATAGCAGCAAATGCAGAGTTGATAGCAGTTGGCAATGATTTCTGTAGAGCCGCATTCACCAATTCCTCTATCTTGGCAGCTGAAAACCCTGCCCCACTCCCTTCGGCCAGCTGCGCGGAATAAGCAGGGCGATCGGTGCGGCGAGTGTCTGATAGAGGCTGCTCCTGGGTGCTGTCCGACATCTCAGCATGCTTCCCATGATGTTTGACAAAGAGCCTACAGTCGAGGATGATATGCCCGCCCTTTTTACAGTACACGCACAGGTTACGTTTCCAGGCAATATTTTTGAAGGTGGCCATTCTCCTTGCAATGGTGGCAGTGAAATTCCGCAATCGAGATTCGAAGGTGGAATTGCGGGCGGCTCACGGCGAAGGCGGTATCATCTCCTGCGGCAGCAACAAGGGGCGACTCACTGTCGCCGGGGCGGAGGTCCAACTTGGCCTGGGTTCTCAGGCGGGTCTCTTCCCTATTTAAATCACCAACAACACCATCCATTGACAGCGCTCCACGATGAATAATGGCCGATCTGATGGGCTCGAACTCTGGCCTTAGCCGCATCAGAAAATGAAGAAGGCGAGCATGCTTGCGTTCCTCGATGAAGACGGCGGAAGTTGTGGCAGGTCGTAGCGACAAGGTGAGTAAATCTTCTTCTGTCCATAGTTCTTGTGCGGCAGTGAGGTAAGCTGTAATGTCTCGATCACCTTGTTCCAACTTGTCCAACGCAACCTGGACCTCAAATTGCCGCGCGGCACTAGTAGTTGAATAAGTAGCAGCCAATTGTTTCCACATATCTTGTGCAGTCTTATGCATACGGAGACTCAAACAAATATTCGAATTAACCGAGTCCAGGATCCACGATCTTACCCGAGCATCGTTCATATTCCAGTGTGCAATCTGCTCGGCAGTGGCCGTGGAGTCTGGCTTCGGATCTGTTCCATCCAGGACCCCGGCGAGTCCCTTCCCTTCAACACGAACACGGAATTGAAATTCCCACAACTTATAATTTCTTTGGGTTGAGCCGAATTGACAATCTCTCGGAATCAGGTGCCGAAAGCTCTAATACCATGTTAACGTATCTAAACAAATCAAAAGCTTAACGAGATGAACACACAGATTTAACGTGGTATCCCTGGAATGCCAGGACTAATCCACGGGAGAGGCAAGCTCTCCAAGACGAAATCGTACTATGTTTGCTTGATCGTTTGCGGTGGGATACAAGGGAAATAAATACAAGTCAGAAACCCTAGCATGCCTACGTTTGCATGGTTCGGGTTGCATGGGCTTGGACCAATCATAAATCATAAGTCTCCGTGGCCCAAGACACTTCCCATAATCCGCTAGCACATTTCCCGTCCGAATGTCATCTAATTTAAGTATTTAACGGATTATGGCCTTATGGGCCTCTGTTCTCCCCATCTCTAGTTGACCAATGGAAAAGCACACATCAGCATTTCTTCTGATATGCCATTGGTGGATGGAGGGCTAGCTTCAGTTATTACGTACGTTAGTCAACACCCAAACGGTAAAACTCACCGTATTCAGTCCAACAAAGATAATTTTTCGCCACGTTGACTGTGTGAGAATTGATACCAGATAATATCGTCCAATAAAGTTTCTAGTTGACAATAAAAGGTTCAAGAGCAAGAATCCTTGTACAAAATTTCGGGAACCAAATATTTAGGGCAGCATACGGAAACGGGAAGAACAAAACAGCATGACGGAAGGACAAAAGCTAGATCCAAGAAACTGAAACACCATCTGGGATGCCGACCAAGAGCTTCACTTGAGAGGAATAAACCTGGAAGAGTGGGTAGCACCAATACCAGGTCTTCCGTGCTTCACCGGCTTGTAACTGATTGAGAACTCAGCGAGATAGTGACCAATCATCTCAGGCTTGATCTCCACTTGGTTGAAAGTCTTGCCATTATAAACACCTATAACGCTACCGATCATCTCGGGGACTATGATCATGTTGCGCAAGTGAGTCCTAACTGGCTCGGGTTTCTCACCAGCTGGAGCCTCCCGTTTCTGAACACCACCACATAGAAAAACAAATCAATTAAGCGGATAACAGAATCAAACAATGGGAATACAGCGTGAAACATGCAATGGCCGGTTTCTTTATCACCAGCAAAATGACGGACAAAGCTACTCAAGATAAGCATTTAACAAAAAATTATGATATTGTTGCAGAACTTAACTAGCCAGGACAAGAAGTTGGTGACCTGTCATGCACTATCCATGCTAAGGGAATAGAAGAGCATTCACACTGAACTGTTTTGACTCGAAATACATCAATCAAGAGAAAACCTCAGCTGTTCACACATCCCAGTAGCAAAGTAGTAAAATTTACAAATCTTCCTAGCAAGTAACTAAGACACTAGACTCATTTCCCCACAAGTTGAACTACGAGTTCTGCAGCATAAGCCTCCTTCTCGGTCTGAGACCACTAGTGGAATATCAGGGCTGGATGGAACAAATATATTTCATTACAAATAGATGCCAGAGAATTCTTAGAGTTCATGAATTGATTATCCAATACTGAAATGATAGAGAACTATCCAGAAAATGACGATGGATTGCAAAAAAATTTTAGCAATCAACTATAATGCAATGGACATTTAATCAATTGCTACAACTTATGTCTAAAACATTCAACAGCCGCACATAGGTACAGAATAAAGCAATTCGGATTAAACATTCAAAATTTGAACACCAAGCATTACAGAGAAATGCAACAATCAACTGGGTATTCTGGATGCACATTTCCACCACAATCATGAAAGCTGGAAAGCTAAAGAGAACCCTTAGCAAAATCTAGCAAGGAACATACTATAACTATAAAACTTACCGCTTTCCGGAGCTTCTTGATGAGCGCCATTGGCTTCCTAGTCAAACCTCGCTGGAACCTGAGCACAAATTAATGAACTATCAAGATCCAATTCCAGAGGGAGCAAAAAGACTCATTTTTAAAAAATGATAGCCAAGCGATTGATAATCGGATAAGCAAGTCACCTTCTTCGGGCACGAGCAGTGAAGAGCTTGACGAGGTCATCAGTGGACATGTCCAAGAGGGTATCCAAATCAACTCCCCTAAAACTGAACTTCTTGAACGTCCTCTTCTTTGGCTGTTCTGGAACGGCAACATCGGCTTCAACGTCCGCCTGAAATGCCACCGGAGAACGAAAAACACTCAGAGGGTTAGACTTGGACCATCATTTCAACGCATAATCTTGGCTTGACTGATAGCCTAACGCAGGAATTCGTATAAGAAAAGGAAATCAACAACGCCCAGCTAGTTTAAATCATGAGCAGATAAAGAAAATCGACTCAGTAGGGAGGAAATGAAGTTCTCACCATGGCTTCTGATGGAGAGGAAACTTGCAAGAATCCGGCAGGTCGCTTGTCCGTCGGCGCGAGATTTTCTCCGATGTTTTTTAGGGTTTGGAGGGCAGTAGTTGCTCTTATATAGCTAGCCTGGATGGATCATGATCGCGGGCTCAACTGTCGTTGGGCTTATGAGCCTAGCAAAACTTAGTTGGACCAGACCGTACTTATTCACTGACTTTTACTATTTTTTCCCGGATTAATTGCATAGGGTGTCACTTAAATTTTACATTTGTTGCACACTAATTACGTAACTTGTTTTTGTTGCAACTAAATCATATAAATCTTGTTTTGGTTGCACAGTTATATTTTTTGTTCTCAAACTTAACTATGAGTATCCAAATGTAATTTTACAAGCCATGTAGACAATTTGGTTAACCCATGCTGGCTGAGTCAGATAGTCAACCATGATGAAGACCATCATAATTCATCAAATGCTCGAGACGAGATGTGCTCTACTTCACAGTAGGAGCTCAAACAGATTTAGAGCTGTGATTTTATTCTCTCTATCAGAGAATGATATTGGGGCGAGATGTTGATAAGGTGTCTATAGTCGGGACTTCTTTGCAGTGAACGTCCAGCCATTTTCATCTAATTCTTGTCAATTTATAAGATCCTTGGCAAGACTCCAACTGATGCAATTGTTCAAAACTTTGTGCATTACCTTGTCCCATGTATATATATTATTTCTGAAAGTTATGGAGTTTTGCTCTAACCAAATGTTCCAAATGATGGCACGAGGTAGTAATCTAACATATTGGATATGTGTTAATCCATTGGGTTTTTTTTTTTTTGACAAAGATGTTGCTTGTATTTCACTTGGAAAGAACACGGTTACAAAGAAGAGGAAGAGGAAAACCCCTGAAGTCTAGCTTCAAGAAAGAAAACCCCAAACAAGAAAGAAAACCCAAACCAACCAGTAGAGAACATTAAACATCCAGAGAACACCATCAAGGAAAAAGCCAAAAAAAAGACAGAAGGCAACACAACTAGAACAGAAACAAGGGGATCCTTCCATGAGCCAAAACACAGGAATCATCAAACTTTGTAATCACAACAACCGGAGTGGAACACAGCAGCTTCAGCTCACCCAAAACAGTCTTGACCATGATAAAGGGCATTGCTAAATCATATGCTGTCTACTGGGGGTTGTTCAAAGACACCCATCACAGTGAATCGCAGAATAGGCATTGCGCGGTGGTGGAAAGGACTGTGAACGGCTGCTCAGAGCTGAAAACAAGGCCAACGGAACCAGAGCGAAGAGAGCCAAGAAACAGAGTGAGATTCACCCAAGGGTTGAAAGACAACCACACAGAAGCAGAACCGAGAAAAAAAACCACCTGCAAAACCAAACGCCAACAAAGAACCACAAAACAAACCCAATCCCAGAACCCAAAGAAGCAGCCCCAGCAACACTCCCAACAACAAACAAAAAGTGGAACAAACGAAACCCTGTATGAATCTCATAACAACTGCAACCAAAGTTCACCCGCCTCAGCAATCGAAGGAGACACCGCTTCCACTACAGTTAGTCGAAACATCGAGGAGCGACGACGGATGGGAAATCGATGAATGCAATCACCCTTAAGGATGAGAAGATGACCACACCAAGCTTGGATAGAAACCCAATCTGCATCCTCTGAACCCAGAACAAAGCAGGGCCAAACCAGATCTAGAAGATCTAGTGAAGAAACCGGGCAAATCCTCATCCTAACGAGAGGAATGTGGAAAGAACCACTTAGGGAACGGGAAAAGCCACAATGGCTGCAAAATGCCACAACGGCTGGAAAATGGTGAAGTGGCTCTACTGTTGCAATAAATTGCCACAACTGTATGAGATCGGTCCTTTGGCATAGATTCTGAAGAAGAAATAGTCCCATATACTTCTTGAAAAGTTGCAATGATGTAGTAAATGATCAATGCTTTCAACTGCTTGCAGGCATGAGCAACATGTATTGGGTATCTGCCAACCTCTTTTCTAACTTTTAGTATACTACGACCTTGGCTAATGCCTTTCACTTGCAATCTATTTTTTTGGGATCTCCATTTTTCATTTCAGCCTTGCCCTTGGCTGGGATATGATTTCTATGTTTTCCCTCTGTGTTTTAAGTAAACTATATGTTCTAATGTCATAGATTGTATTCTTGAGGAATAAGGTCGGAGTGGAGCAAGAGGGACATAGGAGCCCTAATTAGAAGGCACAATCAATTGTAGCCAGATGGCCAAGGTTGATAACGCACTCTTTCCCTGAAACAACAACAAGAAAATGAGTGGCATAGACAACTAAAAGGGTAATTATACTTGTCGAACGTTCCTACTCAGAAGACTGCTATGTATGAAAGCATTTAATTTTTAGTTTTTGCATCTTTTGGCTAGGCTTGCCATAGAATTACACTAAGTCAGTAGAAGTTGCTTTTATTTTTGGTAGAAAAGTGAGTAGAATCTGTATGTAATGTAACTGAAATTTTCATATGTAAATACATTTATCATTAATTAACGAGTTAGAGTTTTTGTTAGTATTATATAAATATATATTGTATTAGGTTCTAAAGAATATTAGACAATTAGTAGTATTAGCATGTAATTATCGTTCATATGTGACCATTGAATGAACAACTGGATTTAAAATGTTATCAAAATTACTGTATTCCAATGACTAATATAAAATATCATAGTTGATAATACATATAATTAAGAAAAATCTTGTAGCAATCACATCTATGAATCATGGAGATCATCCTATGGTTGTAGCTTGATCACGGGGTTCCCGTGGATAATTCAACTATTTATCATGAGATTTTCCCCGCTTTTATTGGTTAACAATCACAAAATTCCCTATAATACTTGCTTTTTACCACAAGCATGCTTGTCACGGGAAAATATTTGTGACAGAAAAGAGAAACCTTTGATCACAAGATTTGAGTATTGAGTTACGGAAAATCTTATGATCAAAAGTTAAATTTTTTTTTGTAGTGATCCCAACAAATGCTTAACAAAGTAAAATTCTATGTATAAAAATCAGAGGCCAAACTGTTCACACATATGATCAACCATACCATAGAACAACCTAGGTAACACAATCATCTTGTGTGGATACAATAGAAAAATAAAAACCTTCCTCAAAACCAAAACTCACTTTTTTTTAACATCTTCTGTCTCATCTCACAAAGTTTTGATTCATCTTTTTTGCTCTTTCAACTTTCTGAATGGAATACTTCAACTCTTTTTGAATGTTTATCCTTGAAGGTGATAATACTATGTCTTTCCAAATTGAACCAGTAGCACAAGCCGGATTTGGAACTGGGTAAAGTTCATATATTGAGTCTGAATCCTCATTCAATTTGCCCACCCGTTTTAAGCAATCAATTTCATCCGGATCAACCAACAAAGTCTTGTCTCTCTCTTTCCATCCTATCAACTTCACAATAATTTATTGTGTTAGTAAATCCAATGCAACATCATGGTTTTGGGTATACTTGAGATATACTATGGAATTTATTGTGTTAGTAAATCCAATGCAACATCATGGTTTTGTATATACTTGAGACATACTATGGAATATATATTTTCAGGATTAGAAGCTAGGATAACTAAAATTTCAGTTCTATCATCGATTATCTATGTTTTCATTTAGTTATCCTAATCTCTTCCATATCAAAAATTGATTATCTACCATATAATGTAATTAGATTAAGAATTTAAACATGATGGAAGAATAACTCGTATAAGAGAAGGGATGAATTGTTGTACCTTTGGTGGTCCTTCTAAAGCATTGGTGCAATATAGCCTGGCATTGTCAACCAATTGGCAATATGTTAAAAATGCATTAGCAAATCTTTTGTGTGATCTGAGTTGTGACCTGACCCTAACAGCTCTTCTACACATTATGGCTCTCCTGTAAAAAAAAAAAGAGATCAAAATGAGGATTTATTATTGGAAAAAAAAAAGTTTCATTTTGAACATATTTTTGCGGATTAAGAAATTTAATAGTTTTCATTAGAGTTTTAAAAATTTCAACTTATTACCTTATGCCTCTAACAACAGCAAGGTAAGCATCACAAACAACCCCAACCAGTTCTATTCTGTATGGCTTTCTCTTCTTGTTTCCTTCTTCAAGTGGTTGTTCTTCTTCAATTTGCTCCCAGTAGTTCTCAGTCACAGCTCCATCCTCTGCTACTCTGTAACCTGCTCCCATCCGGTAGCGCCTCCGATGGACATTTCTCGCCATTGTTATTGTCTGCACCACAAAGGGCAACCAAGAGAGTGTCCCATCCATGATAACATCTCGCCCGTCGTTAAGTGCTGTCACCAGTAGAGAAGATGCTGCATCTGTGGATGATTGGTGCACCTGATTCAAATCCATGTAGCGGAGAGTGAGTTTCTTTTGATAAGAGCAAAGAAACATGCATATGATTTTGGTATGTGATTGAGGTTGATAAGTTGGTAAGACATCCATGGAGTCTCACAAGCTCAGCTGTTTGGATAATGTCGACATGTCCCCTGGAGCTTAAGGCTTTAAAGATGACATCTGATTCTTTGAAAGCATCTGCCTCGATAACTACCGCATTCGCTGATGCTCCAGCCCAGAATGGTCTGCTCATAAGGAAGAAATCAGTTACCACTTAACCCCTACTTTCATATATCACATTAAAAGTTGTCTATTTGAAGACCCATTTTACAGTTCGCCTAAAAGGATTGTGCAAATCCATACTCTTTAAGAATATCTTTGAGGACAGTGCTCTTCCCAGCTCCCATGCCTCCACCCATGAGCAAGAGGACTGGACTCCTATTGGAATGGTCCACTGGCGCCATAACCTCGGTGCATGAATCATCATTCGATGCTAAACCCATCGCTTTCATTTCCTCTACCAGGGTATTGAACACCCTAGCCACCTTGAGATCTTTTGTCACTCTCTCAAACCTTTGTTCTCTGATTAAACCACATAAAAAAAAAGGTTAGGTTAATGTTTGATACACAAAAAGTTATATTTTGATTTTGCATACAAGGTGAGTAGTGTTAAACAATATGTCCATACCTAGTGGCAGCCATTACAATGTGCCTGAATTTCTTCTTAGGCTCTGCATCAGCACTCAACACCTAACAAACATAGAAACAAACAAAAGTCGTTACTTTTGGATAA